ATCATCGCTGCTAAACAGAGTCTTTATTATTCTATCTTTCGAATGATCTGCTTTATTATTTGACTTCTCCATATTTATGCTTGACTTTCTCTTAAAAACTAAGTAGAGTTTAGATAGTAGAATAAGATTACCGCGCAGATATCCTTGATATTCGATATTCTATTGAATATCTTGCTTCTAGATCTATCACGCCTTATTCCGTATAAGTGTTGGACAAAAATCATCACCATTTTGGATGTTTCAGATATTCAGATGTCTATCAAAACAATCAAGCTTTCATCGGGGGGTTCAATGCCTCTCCTGGGACTTGGGACATGGATGGTGAGTGCACACTTTTTTAGACTGATCACACCTTCGAGTACACATCCATATTACATCTGACCTTTCATAGCTTTTTATTCCTTTTGTGCGCCATCAATTCGCGCTCAACTAAACCATATTTCCTTTCAGTTAACAAAACTTGGATTGAGCGTAACGCAAAATGCTCTGAGAAAACAAACATGCAGTAGTACAAAATTTTGAAAATAGGATTATATTTTTCTGAGAAGGGAATTCATGTTAGCAAGAATTTCTGATTTAAAGAGTAAAAACAAGAAAATAATGTTCAAGTTCTAGTGAATGATGCTAATACGAATTTACACCACAGTTATGACAATAATATGGAAGTTCCACCCCACTTTACTCTTGAAATTCTAAAATGTCAGCAATTTTCAAAACAGTTAAAGGTAAGCTTGCCCTTTGGTAAAAAATTTTCGAGCTCAAAAATTTCGAACTCCTGCAAGACAGAAAAAGTGACAAGGCGTATCGGGGCATTTTTCTGTCAGCTGTTGCTCAAGCATTACTGACAGATAGTGTAAACGAGACATTTTGATGCCTCCAGGGATGATATTTCAAAAGTCTTTTATCGAAATGAGCACGCCTTTATACTTTGCCGAGCTTAATACACAGCTTAAACTTCCTTTAGCAATGAGATGCTTACAAAAGCGTAGTGTGGGGGCGAAATTTCTTCTTACAAGAGAAGGATACTTAGCCGAAGTGACGATTCAAGAAGCGATGTATACTAGTAGATGCATTTTTAGATGCTGATTCCAAATCTGCCTTTCGATCTTTCTTTGGAAAAAGTAATGAGTGTTTGAAAATTCTAAGCGTTAGCACCACCTCTATCAAAGGTAACCAATGTTTACTGAATGGGCGGCAGATAGTGTAATGATAAGTGTGCTTTGTTAAGCTGTTTGATGCAAGTTAGATTTCACTCTTCTAGCACTTTTGCATTTAAAAATGTTGAACGTTTCATCTCATATGTGCATGCCTCCACACCATGGTTTCATACTCAAATTCCCTTCGCTCATCTATTCTTAACTTTGTTCTCGTTTCAAAAATCTCCACTCG